ACAAAACAAACAAAAAACCAAGCAAACCCCCACTCTTTAAATGGTAAAATAATTTGAATAAATGTTCCTATGGAAAGTTATATGAATGGCCAATAAGCACAGAAGTCATTTGCCACTCGGGAAATGTAAACCAGAGGCACACTGCAGTGGGAACAAGCCTGTGATCGCAGCATCTGGCAGTCTGAGATGGGTGGATTCCTGCTGCCCAGGGGCCCAGCACCCCACAGATCAGAGAAACTGGAGAGGAGATACAAAGAGGGCGAAGTCATGGACAGATGCACAGACACACGTGGGAACTTTTATCTGAAGGCCAAAGCCTAACTCTTCATTTCACTTTTCTCTCTGTGGCTTGTTCTTACTCTGCTCTTTGCTCTGTTTTCTACCCTGAGGTTTTCTCTCTTCTTCATCCCTGTTGTTCTTTCTATATCTCCCCTGGTGTTCTCCTCTCCTCTTCTTCCCTGGTGGCTCCCTTCTGTTTCTTTCTTGATGTTTTTCCTTCCAAGTCTTTCCTTCTCTAGCCCTCTTATTTTTCTCTAATGCCTTTTATTCCATCTAATACAATGGTTTTATACCTCTAATACAACGATTTTATACCATCTAATACAATGATTTCTATGCAAGAAAAGATCACCTCACAATGTGTTACATAGTTTCCAAAAACAAATTAAAATCTTTACATAAGAAGAAATCACATATGATCACAAGTTACATGTTTCCTTAGAAACTCACAATTATCGGGGCAGTGGTGACACATGCCTTTATCCCCAGCACTTGAGGCAGGTCTTTGTGAGTTCGAGGCTAGCCCAGTCCGCACAGTTATTTCCAGGACAGCCAGGGCTACACAGAGAAACCCTGTCTCGAAAAAACTAAAGAACAAAACAAAAAGAACCTCACAAGTAGTTAAACATTTCTCTTTGTATTAATTTTTACACTATAGCATCTTCACCCAGTACTGATTCTTTTATAAATGATTAACAGTTTTAAGCACACTAAGTATATTTCAGCCAATTCCTTTGTACTGGAAGGCAGCTGTTTGTGGTTTCAGTGTAGCAGATTTTTATTTTATAAAAGACTTTAAATGAGAGGTCAGCTCACCATCTATTTTTCTTTACACACAATAGGGTCATTTAATTTCCTTTCATAATTTTGTTTTTCCAAAGCACATACCGGGGCTTGTGATTAATTCTTTAAGTTACACAACCAAGGAACTTGACCTAACCTTGGGTGTAAGGACATAATTACTTTCTTTAACCATCACCTGTTTTTCCACAGGCAGAACTCATGGGTCTATGATTCGTGAAACTTCTATGTTCTTATTCTTATTTTTCACCCTCTGTAAATCTTACATTTAACAAAAAGGAAGGTAACTTCTAGCCTATTTTTGCCTTTTTTTTTTATCTCTCATTGAAGCAATTGACAGAGTAACCTAAACCATTTCCCTAATCATCTTATTGTCTTAACCACCTGTATCTTTTAGGCTAACTCAGAAAGTCCAATTAAATCATAGATCTACCTTGCTCTTATAAAAATCATCATTGCTCTTATAAAAATCATCTTCATGGGGCTGGAGAGATAGTTCAGAGGTTAAGAGCACTGGCTGCTCTTCCAGAGGTCCTGAGTTCAATTCCCAGCACCCACATGGTGGCTCACAACCATCTACAATGAGATCTGATGCCCTCTTCTGGCGTGCAGGCAGACATGCAGACACAACACTCATATACATAAATAAATAATAAAAATCTTTAAAACGAAAAAAATCATCTTCACTATGATCTGCAAGTAAATTGCCCAGAGAGGAGTGGGATTTTCTCAAGAATCAATCATACTATACTAGCTACGATGGGAGTCTTTCAAATAGTAATCACACCTTGCTAAATACAGCAGAGACACAGCAGCAGCAAGGAGCACCCTGGAGACACCCAGAGTTGCTTTGTTATTCTCCGGACTGATTCCGAAAGTGTCATTGCAGACTGCAGCATCTCTGACATGGCCACCAGAAGATCACCATGAGCTGCCCACTGAATCCTGTCTCACAAACAAAAGAGGCTGGGAAGGTGGTGCATGCCTGTTATCCTAACACTTGGAATTAGAAAGTCAAAAGTTCAAGATTACTTTAATCCCAGCACTCGGGAGGCAGAGGCACTCGGATCTCTGTGCTTTCGAGGCCAGCCTGGTCTCTAGAGCAAGTGCCAAGACAGGCAAGGCTACAACACAGAGAAACCCTGTCTCGACCCCCCCAAAAAATAAATAAAATAAAATAAAATCCATAATAAACAGAAAAGAGAGGCCAATGGGCAAGGCAGGGAAAGGATTTCTTTCGAGAGGAGGTTATACAGCTTTGATTTTCAAAGCATGTGAATGCCTTACTTTAAAATAAAAGCCAAGGGCCTGGAGAGATGGCTCAATGGCTAGAGCACTGTTTGCTCTTCCAAAGGACCCAACTTCAATTCCCAGCACCCATGTGGCAGCTCACAACTATAACTCCAGTTCCTGGGGATAATAACACTCTCACACAGGCATATATTCAGGCAGAACACATAAAAAAATAAATAAACTATTAAAAAATCAAAAGTCAGAGCCTGCCTTTAATCACAGCAATCAGGAGGCAGAGGCAGGAGGATTTCAGTGAGTTCAAGGCCAGCCTGGCCTACAGAAGGAATTCCAGGACAGACAAGGCTACACAGAGAAACACTGTTTCAAAAAACTAACTAAATAAATAAAAGCCAGGTGTGTTGGCACATGTGCCTTTAATCCGAGCACTTGGGAGTTAGAAACAGAAGGATCTCTGTGAGTTCAAGGCCAGCCCGGTCTACAGAGTGAGTTCCAGGACAGTCAGAGCTACATAAATAAATAAATAAATAAATAAATAAATAAATAAATAAATAAGGGCTGGTGAGATGGATCAGTAAGAGATGTAATTTTTCAAATAAATACATAATTTGTTTTGTTTTGCTTGAGACAGAAGTTTACTATGTTGACCTAGAACTTACTATGTAGTCTAGACTAGCCTTGCTCCCACAAAGCTCTGCTTGCCTCTGCCTCCTGACTTCTAGGACTAACGGGGTTGGGCCACCACACCTAGGGTTTGTACTTTTGAGACAAGGTCTCACTGTGTAACCCTGGCCAGCCTTGAACTCAGAAGTCCACCTGCTTCTGCCTCCCAAGTGCTGGGATTCGAGATGCTTGCCTCCACCCCACCCCCCAGTTCATGTAAATCAGATCTTGTCATTCTGCTGTGCAAAACCCTACAGGGTGCCATTTCTCACAACACCTGCTGCTAAGCCTGAGGACCTGAGTTCAATCCCCAGGGCCCACATGGTTGAAGGAGCAAGCCCATTTCCAAATGTTGTCCTGTGACTTCTGCATGGGCAGCATGGCACACTGGTGCAAACACTCCCACTTGTGCACACAAACACGCATGCACACAAAACAAACAAAACTACAGTAAGAGACATCCCCCGGCTAAGCCATTTCCAGCAAATATCAGAGACTCTGTGGAGGGCCAGGCAGGTACTTCATGAGTTGAGAGAACAGTGACACAGTTAGTTCAGGCTTTGTTTGTTTGTCAGTCACAACGTGCTGGCCACAGACATCTCCAGACATCAGCCTGCTTGCTAAAAGGCACTGGGTGGAGGGCAGTGTGTGAGGGTCTGAGACCCAGCACCTACCTACACAAGTCAGCATAAATCACTGACGCCCGAGATTAATGCAAGGTGCCAGGGCACCAGCTTCATCAGAATCAGCAGGAACTCCATCTGCAGCCTGTCCCGGTCATCCACAAGTGGCTCTTCCTTTGAGGGAGGAGGCATATGAAGAAGACAGGGAACAAGACGGAAACTGGGAACAGAGACCACACAACGAAGGAGCACGGGGTGGGGGTGGGAGTGGGGAATAGACTGGAGAGGCTTAAGTCTTAGAGAGGAAGACGACGGAGGCTTGGAAAGATCCTTCAGATCTTTTTTCTGTTTTGTTGTTGTTGTTGTTGTTGTTGGTGGTGGTGGTGGTGGTGGTGGTGGTGGTTTTTGGTGTTTTGTTCTTGTTGATGTTGGTTTTCGAGACAGGGTTTCTCTGTGTAGCTTTGGAGCCTGTCCTGACACTCGCTCTGTAGACCAGGCTGCCCTCGAACTCACAGAGATCCGCCTGCCTCTGCCTCCGGAGAGCAATGCCTGATGATCCTTCAGATCCAAGTCCCCTCTGCGGGTCCCAGGCACTTCAGTGCTGCAGCCCCCGGGGCAGACTCTGTTTCTCATCCTCGACAGAAGCCTGGAGCTCTCTTAAAGCCGATGAGCTAAAGGCAGGACATTATGCTGAGCCTAATTCATCCAACCCCTGTTTTAGCTCCTAACATCTGCCAGCTGTTGGCTCAGGCAGCGCCCTCAAGGGCTGCTTACCCATGACAAGCGCTGACAAGCGTGAGGGTGATGTCACAGTGACCAGAGGAGGAGGCACCCCACCTGGTGGTCATGGGGGGCTTATGAGCAGGCAGGATCACTAGTTATGCTCTGCGGCTGGTTCTTGCAATGTAGCCCAGGCTGACCTCGAACGCGGGACCCTCCTGGGTAGTGAAATGAAACCTAGTGCGTGCAGCTGGTGTGCTGCTCCGCCAAGTAGCTTCCCCGCGAATGCGCGTCCTGCGGGGGCCGTGCACTCAGTAGGCGCTTCGCGGCGCGCGCAAAAGTCAAGTCGCGGTCCTTTGCACGGGGCGTACTCCCTGGCTCGGGCGCCGCACGGGAGCCCGCGGGGCGCACCGGGGACGCGCACACCCACCCTCCCTTCTGCGCCCAGC